AATGAAACCCTCTGCACAGTAATTTGAATACAGTGATATCAGTCAGCAGTAGAGAATGTGAAGTGATTTGAGATCCAGTATATGTTTTGCTTTAGTTAATACTGTATGTTTTATATGAGATTTACAGCTTATTTTATCATTTATTATCACACCAACAAACCTATTTTCATGAACTTCTTCCATGTCGAGCCCATCTATATGCACTTGTTAATTTCTTTTAAAATTCCCAAATGACCTTATTTAACTTTCTTTAGATTTAATGACAGTTTGTTCCTGTCAAGCTTCTTTTTTTTTTTTTTGCACATTTATGAAGTGACCACAGTGGCTCCTTTAGATTAGCCCCAGAGAAAAAAATTTTTTTGTGTGATTTGCAATAAATACTGATTTAAAAATATCACATACCTGACATATATCACTTATATAAATAATGAATAATTTTTGACCCTGTACAAAACTCTGGATCTTCAATTTCAGGATTAAGTGCTCAGAAAATGAATCCTGAAGTAAAGGTTTGTGTATGACATTAGAACAGACTGCTAATAATTTCTTGAGAAGAACAGGGGATAAAGGTGCAGAAAAGCCACAATGTGATGTCCCCACACAAGGACACAGAATCTAATGAGAATGAAATGGGGGCGGTCAGCAGTGGTCAGCATCTACAGAGGTTTAAAATGTCAGTTTGACTCCCACTGATTTTATATTGTATCACTTTCACAACTCACGTTTATAATACTTGATATATGCTTTGTTTACATGCAGCTGCACAGGTAAGGCTTGCTTTGAAATGTTCCATTCAATGCATGAAAAAAGTTATAATTTATAAATGAATGAATGCATTCATTTATGTGTGCATACAAGAAACACATTTTATCTACAGTACACTGGTGATGAAATATTTACTAGTTTAGCAATGTACAATTCAATGAAATGACCTATTCCTGTCATTATAAAACGGTCTATCCTCATACAGAAGACAATTTATGATGCTTTATAATGTTACAGAAAAACAGTAAGTTGTTCTTTGTACTCTGAGTTTATTGATAAACGCCCAGAGTTTAGTTTTTGTAACCTGCTCTGTACTACAGTTTATCCTGGACTGTGTGACACCTTTTCTTTTACCCTTTGGTTTCATCCATATCTTTATTCAGTTTTTTAAAGAACCCAGTTAACGTTAGACAGACAGCGTCTCGTTTTAGTTTTGTGGTTCTCCACCAGTAAAGCCCTTCTAAGATGAGTCTGAATTAAGACTCGTCCTCCACAACAGTTTCCTTTTGAGGAGGCTTTGAGAACACTGGCTGCTTTATTCTGGAGGCCAGAAAAAAGAATAACATCTGTTCCAAGCAGAAAACTTTTCATGTCTTCGTGTCCCCACTGTGTCATGAGGTCACTCCAACCCTGTTGTGTCACAAATTGTCCGCAGACACACTGCTCTGCACGGAGGGGCAGATTCAGCAGTGTATAATCAGCTGTTTTCACTCTTACTTCTTCAAAAGAGAAAATCTTATGAAAGTGTGTCAGGGTTAGACACACACGTAATCATATCACTGCGCATACCTTTAATGTCAATTATTTCAACTGACTTTTAAGAGTCAGGTTAAACATGCACAGAAGCACCGCTCAGATCACTTTCACGTGTGTCTTTGCTATTTGCTTTTGTTTTTACTGCCGACCTGCCCTCATGACCCTCCAGCCTACGTGGCGTCGGAGTCAAGGAGCGCTCTAACGATGTGTGAACTATCGGGCCTGCCATGACAATGGCGCCTTTAGACAGGTGTATATACACCCTTCACACACTCTCTTTTGCAGTGCTAAATAGGACCAGTGAAGACTGTGATGGTCTTGTCTAGTGAATGGCATTCACGTGATTTTCACACTTAGAGGGTGCACAGTGACTGCTGGCATTTGCAAAAGAAAAAAAAAGATTGTGGGTTTTTAACATAACCCGTCGACATAGAGTCTTTTAAATATACATCTGTCATTTCAGGAGGATGCTTCAAAACAGTTTTTGGCAAGATGACTTTTATCCTTTATTTATCCAGGTAAAAAGTGTCACTGCGATATCTGGTCAAGAGAGCAGCAGAAACAGCAACAAACAGAACACAACAGTACCATAAAGGTATTTTATCTGTCCATAAATTACACTTCTTTTGGGATTGATTATTACGTAAAACACAGAATGGGTACAAGTAATAAGGATATTTACAAAAAGAGGTAATTTCTTTTTTATATATATACATAAATCTTTAAGACTAGACAATATTTACCACTATAACCAATCTAAGCAAGGATATTAGAGAAAAATACAGCTTTCTAAAGTGATCATAAAGGTAAAATAACTTTCTGGTATGTAATAAAAAATATAATAATAATAACAACAATAAACCTTTGCCTGCTGATCTTTCCAACGGTCCCTGTAACCCATGCTCACTTTAGTCACAAACACAACGGAGACAAAGACATGACTTTTGATTGGAAAACCTTGGGGTGAAGTCTAAAACATCATGTGATGCTCATTCGAGAGAAGCGCCCAAAGTGGATTTAATAGGTCTCAGTTTACATCATCATGTGCTCCTGTCGGCTCTGTTAATTTTTTACCTTATATCACGCTGTGAGCAATCTGGAGAACAGCGGCGCCTTTATTCAAACGGACGTGTCCCCCGCAGAGAGAGAATGAGAGGGGTAGTCAGTGAGGACAAAACCTCAGCTTATTCTCATTTGCTTGTAAAAGTCATGTAGTGTCACTTGTTTTGCAATGCAATGATAATGGTGAAATTCTCAAACTGCTTATGCGATTACTTCTGACATTTTTGCACATTATTGTGCGGGTTGTACGTAGAAATAACAATATTTTGTGCAAATCAGTGCCACAAATCTTATTTTTTAACACTGCTTTTCGGGTATTTGTGGATATATATTGTGCAAAACATATTCTTCCACCACAAACCACTGACTGCATTGCAGTATGGACCAACAGAGGACGCTCAAGTTATTGCTGGCCCTTTTTTTTTTTAAAGGGCTGCGACTTTTTGGTAAGGTGTATGATTTATTTTTTTGCAAAATTATTGCAAAAATGGGAAATGCTTTGGTTTTGGTGCTTTTCCTGCAGGACGCCCCGTTAGGATTACCGTGGACATATTTGAACTCATATCAGGATCTTCGACTGAACACAATATAAAAGTAATTTTTTGGCCCTGAAGGCAAACTTCTCCCCCTCCGTCTGTTTTACATATTCACTTCTCCCTCCGGGTCTTCCTCACAATGAAAAGCATTGATATGCACATTTCAGTTCAGGTAGGCTATGAAAACAGTTCGGCCGTGTTTCACATTGAATTGAACACTCGGCCGTTCACATGACAATACGCGTATGCCCGATGTTTGAAAGTCAGCCATTAGAGGCGTGAAATGCATAATTAGATCAGGGCGCTGCAACAGCTTTTGGCACATTGGTCACCTGTGATGAATGGAGCCGGTGGCGCCCAGCCCGGACACACGGGGGTGTGTATGTGGGCGGAGACGTGCCCACCCACTCCGCTGCTTCTCTCCTCTGCTTACTATATGAGGAGGCAAGTTTGGGATCCCCCAGACAGATTCAACTTTGGTAGTCGTCTTGTCAATCTTCCAAGAGTTTTCTCTCCACCCCGACAGGAATCCGCTGTTTGCTCAAGCTGTGATTAGAGCGCACAACGCCTTGGACTGTATTTTTCCCCCCGTTTTTTATTTTGTATTGTTATTCCATCGGTGAAGCTAGAGCTCAAGATGCCTCGGTCGTTCCTTGTCAAGAAGTATTTTCCCTACAAGAAGCAGCATAATAGGGAAAGCTACCCGGAGAGCCACACAGGTAAGTTTGCTATTGTCCGTGATTGTATGCAAGATATTTGCGAGTGCATTAGACACATAGGGAATCACAGTCATGAGCTCCCCATCAAGTTACCTGCAGACACATAACAGTCATGTGGCAGACGTGATAAGGTGTATACCTGTCATGTAGCAGCTTGGGCATTCCTAATTCTTGTCCCTGTCACCTGGAAAAACTCATGATAAGAAATCTTGTGATTAAAATAGGCTGTAATGTGAACCCGAAGAATGAAAACGGGTTTAGTGGTTTATTAGATCGTCTGTCCCATTTAACTAACCTGACTTCATTTCCTTTGCATCTCCAGCTTTTGTGCCAGAAAACTTTCCACTGGCTGAGCTTCCATCAGAGAACAGCTCTGCACTGACCTGCCAACCCGCCACGCTAATATTCAGCGTGGACATCCTGCCTCGACCTCACCCCTTGATTTCCCCAGAATCTCTCCCCCCTTCACCCATGGGCCCTTTGGACCTCAGCAGCTCTCCCTCCTGCAGCAGCGGTGAGGAAGAGGAGGACGGCGGACGTACTTCGGATCCACCAAGCCCAGATACAATTCAGCCAATCTATCACTGTTTGCACTGCACCAAGAGCTACACCAGCCTCTCTGCATTTTCCCAGCATCAGATGTCCCACCAACTCCCCCCCTGTGCTCCCGAGACTCCTATGACCACAGAGGCTTCAGCACGCCCGGTCTTCCACTGCAAACACTGCCCCAAGGAGTACAACAGCCTGGGTGCCCTGAAAATGCACATTCGATCACACACGTTGCCCTGTGTGTGCACCACGTGTGGCAAGGCTTTCTCCAGACCGTGGCTCCTCAGGGGACACATTCGCACACACACAGGTATGTCAGACAATTGATTTTTCCAAGATCTGTAGGCTTTTTAACTTAACAGCTGGTTGCACCTTGTTCTCATTGATATTCATTGATTTTTCCTGATGTGTGAGCAAATGCTGG